TAAACATAAGACAGCTGGTTAATCAACACCTTGAGATATGATGTAAAGACAAACTTCAATGATAAATCGTAGAGCTAAGAGTTTATGTAATTCAACGACAAACACTTGTTCCAGAAGAATTTCTTTTATGTTACTTTGCTCAATACTTCAATGGCATTGTTTTGGGTAACCTACTTCATCGATGTCATTTATTTTTGTTAATGCACCATAAAAGTGCCAAATGGAATTGCTACAATGCTATACAAGGCTCAAGCCCTCTAATTATTTGATCCAAGCACCCATACATTGGGAAAATTTTATATGTAATAGTAAAGAACTCTTGATCTTCCAAACACACTTCAAATCATTCAAGTGGATCTTTTATTTCCCTTTCAAAGGTCAATCCGCTTATCCGCTTCCAGATTCTCCTAAAAACACTTGGAAGGTGCTACATTGCTACATTCCATGTTAGCTTCTATCTCTCACCTGATCTCCCGTATGTTTAATCTGCCTGAAGGAGTTTTAGCATCTTAAGTAAATAATCAACGGATAACAAAGCCAAAGAAGATGAAAACCACAAACCAGTTGTCAGATTAACATCTTCAATCTACCACTTAAAATAAGATTATTAATATTCTGATCCTCTTCCCAAATTGTCTGCCGTCAAAATAGCATTTAAGCTTTGTTTGGTCGAGTTGCAGGAAAAGCAAAAGAAGAGTTTACTGTGAACCTGCCTACATAATTGCCAGGCCTCACTGTCTTTAAAATTTTCCACAATATCTGATTTACCATCAAAAGCAACCTTGCATATGCCATAATAGGACATGATATTCTCTGTATAGACTGCATGTAAATTATGCAAATAAGATAAAATAAGTTGCATTTAACTGGCATACCTCTAAATTCCTAGCTGAAAGGCAATCATCTGAGGTAGCCTGCTGTCCATTAAGAATAGAAGTTGCTGCAACTCGAGACCTTCTTCCCTGAATCAATGTAGAAGCCTGCCCAGTGAGCATATCATATTGAGACTGCAATCTTCTCAGCTGTTTCTGCAACTCCAATTCTTCAGCTTTTAATGCTAAAGTTGCATCTCTGATGATTAAGCAAACCATCAATATCAGAGAAAAGCAGAGCAAATGTAAAAACAAATTACTGTGAGGCCAATTCATTTTAATATACAAAGGAGCAAAGATAAGGTTCTAGGAATGTTCATGGTTTACTTATTTCCAAAAAAAGAATTCAGAGAGAGATACACCATCTTGTGCACAATAAATTGTCTTCATCAACTCTCTGGTATCTAAGTTGCCTCTTCATATGCAGTTTCTAATTATGGAATAAAGATAATCCAGAACTGATGATTGAACAGATTAATGGGGAAATATAAGCTACTGCTGTTGCATTCGAGGTAAGGACAAGAAGACTGGGCTTCACATACCTATGATCAAATCCCTGATGCATCATTCACATTATTTCCAGAAACACAACAGAACATCTGAGGTGTGAACTCATAGATAGCTGTTTCTAAGGGTCTGCTAACTCCCGCAATCTGAGAGATTTTGATTAGTGTATCCAAATGAAGGTGTTGATTGGGAGCACAGAAAGTCTCAAAAAATTGTAAAAGAGTAACAGACCACGAGAAAAAGTAAAGATGAGATAAAAGGCATGTTTAACTAATTTCTATAAGAACTATTGAACTTACTGTTACATCATGAGTAAATACAATGCTGGATTAGTGATACAGTTGAAAGTATAGGTACATCACAATGTGAATGTGAATCGTTCAGAAACTAGAATTAAGTTATCAATGTAATTTTGAGCATTTGTATGCACTCAAATTTTGACATTGACTAGAAAAGGTTTAGCAATAAAGAACAAAAGATCTAAGAGACAATAGTCATTACCTTATATCCTTCAATCCTTCTTCGCTTCCGAAAACTGCCTCTTGGTTTTCTCTCCTCGTTGAGAAGGCTGAAATGCTGTCATAAGCAAAGTCTAGATCTTCTCCCTGCGAAGTCATTGCACAAATGTGGATGTTTGTATACACATAGTGGCAAGAAGGAATAAAGAAGGACATGATAGCAAACATCTTCCACTTTTATTAAATGAAAACTCCTAGTGAATAAAATATCTATATGTAAATATATTATAAATATAAGCATATACGCAGAAGTACATACAGTAGATACATAGTGTCGAGTGGTTCCCCACCAACCCACCCACCCCACCCCCAACAACAACAACCCAAAAAATATACAATGAAAGCATATAATGAGGAAAAAAAATCTTAAGGTTGACAAATGATAAGTAATTATCAATAGTAATGGTTCTAGATATTACAATTCATCTTGCAACTTTAATGAACCACCAGAAATTTTTTCCTCTCTTCTGAAAAGCACCCGAAGTACAACAACAACATACCCAGTGTAATCCCACCAAGTGGGATCTGGGGAAACACCTTGACAAAAAGGTATAAGCTTTCTTAACAATTGAGGTAAGGAGCATGCTTAATGCAAACACCCTAATGAATATATATCAGCATTTGTCAGATATACCATAGGAGGCATGAAGGCACCTTTAACTATACCACCAAATTCTTGAGGTTTCAACCAGACTGAAGCAAAGTATTCTTATATGAAATGATAGTTCCACTCAGCTTTAATTAATTTTTGTTGTGGGGTGGGGTGGGGTGGGGTGGGGGTGTATGACAACGTACCTCCAACAACTTCTCCTCATGTAAAAGATGCTCGTACCTAGGTTACAAGAGTAGATAATAATTAAAAGGATGAATAGCGTGTTCCGTCAATGAAATAGAGAATTCTGACGGATGCAAAAAATGAAACTTGTCTAGAAGGATAGGATAGAGTAGGCAGTCAAATATAGTGAAGTCAAGATAAATTCCATAAGTACTATATTGTCCAGAGATGTCATTTCAAGCAACTGGAATATTTTGTGTTCTAATGATTGAGAACGAGGAAAGGGTCATATTGACCAGTTTCACTTTTTTCCTCTTTTTATATGACTAGTTTTATCAAGAAAGGAATATAAGTGAAAACAAACATAGGACTAAAATGATCATGACCATAAGACTAAATTAAAAGATATTAGTAACTAAGAAAAGCATTCAGTAATTTCTAAAGGAAAGCTCAAGAGATAATACAACTAATACTATTACGTCTCAATCCTAAGCAAGCTAAAGAGATGATGAAAGTTGAAAATGCTTTTCAGTAGAAAACTCACAATTATCACTTGTAAACTCATTGAACTATAAACGCATCAATTACATCTAACAAATATATCCTACAGCTTCTATGGCCGATGTCCAAGCCAAAATATAATTCTAAAGAACAGAGAGAAGGGAAGTCCACTACACAAGATGGAGTCTTGCAGATATTCTCCTAATTCATTCAGAAGTAAAAGCCAAAGCATTACTAGTCACAATTATGATAACATCCCCATTAATGATGGTGAAGGAAGACGTTGAAATGACATTGAATATTGAATACAAAACAAATTCAATTGCAAGGTTGGTAGTAAATACAGCTTGCAGATAGAATGTCTAGACGTTTTTCAGCACTTCTTAAATCATACACACAACTACATGAATTGTGTATAAGATTAAACATAAGACGTTAAAATAGCACAGCTTAGTAACTTTGCAAATTGGAAAACACAATAAATTGATGAATAATACAGCTTCTCGTGAATCAGAAATAATAAATAGAACTGTAAATTCCCATTTATCTCTTGAGACGTTCAATTTACACAAAATTGTATAGAGTACAGAAGAAATCATGTACGGTAGCTCAAATGGCATTGCTTAGTAACTTTAAAATGAAAAAAAAAACAAATTTAACAACAAGCTTGATACTTAGTAGAGCTTCCGATCCACAAATAAATTGAACTCTAAATTGCATTTTAGCTCGAATTTCGAACAAGATGAAATTATACAACCAAACAAAAGCAATTTTGTAGAAAGTATGAAGAGAGAGAAAATGAAAGAGAAACTTCACTGTGTGACTTCGGAAGGGGAAAGGACATTGGAAGGACGAAGGCTGGAGCAAAGCCAATCGAGGACAGGTCGAGCGTCGTCGTACTGAAAAGGCCACTCGAAACTATCAGGATCAAGTGATCCGTGACCTTCGTATCCTAATTCCCCAAGCAATGTGCATAATTGCGCACTGCTCATACTTCACTGCTGGTCTAGATCGGAGTTGTAAATTTGCTAAAAAATGCCGCCGGCCGGTAGATGTCTTTGCCGCCGGCACTGACCTAATTTGGGAGATTTATCAGAAATTTAAAAGTTACTCACAACTGGTGTCGGAATATTTTCCCCAATAGATATGATGTTTCAAATTTAATTTGTTTTCTTTTTCCCTCTTCTTTTTCTTTTTTAATTTGATAATTAAACTACAAGAAAAAAAGATAACCAGTTTTTAATTTTAATTTTGAATTGAACCTGCGTTGTCAGTTGTAACTCCAATTCGTGCAAGTGTATTTTGATTTTTAGTTCTATTTGTATTTTCACTTGCCCTATTTATTTACTTTTTTCCACATCCTAAAAAGGCCACAAAAAATCCCACAACATTTGATACTTTTTATTATTTGGGGGGAGAGGGAGGGGAAATGGGGAATGGATTATATAATGTGAAGAATCGAACCCTCACCAACAAGGTGAGAGTTTTGATAATCCAACAATAAGATTATTATTTTTATATTGATTGGTGAAATTGGAAAATTGCCTAATTGACCTTGGTAAATATTTCATTGACAACATGGTAGTTGGTTGATTGAATTTTACCAATAACAAAAAAAAATACACACACTTGAACTTTGTTTCATGAAAAATAGATTAATAGTTTCCGACAAAACAAAAAATTAAGTAATTCTTTTCCATGTCATTGCTATCGATGAACAACATTACATGGTACTTATTGATAGTGGAGGATATCCCGTAAAATCAATCAAATATGGAGCACAAATAATTTCTTTTGATAAAATATTATCTTTTTCCTCACATTTATCTCAGTTATTTTGAGCTATAATCCACTTCTAGTTCTATATTTTTGATATTTCAATAAATTCAAACTTCAATTCGAGTTAATAAGAAAAAAAATCGTTAAGGCATTAATAAAATGTCGGATCAGGTTCTTATGAGCACCAGCACGGATAAACACTATACATTTTTCAGGTTTGCAAACCAAAATGCAACATCTTTTCTTTAGAACATTGGTATCCGGACCAGCTTTGCACACCAACATAGAGGTATCGGATAATTATATCCTCCAAGTTTGAGCATAACATTTTGTCTCCACCGGAATTTGAAGTTGAGACCTTGTGGTTCTCCCCACTCCATGATCAATTCAAATTACAGAATGTCTCAGCAGCATAACTACAGAAGCCTGTGTTGCAGTAGCAGCTCATTTACAATCCCAAGCTAGCATTGTTGGTGAAAAGTTCTATGGGCAATTGGATAAGGTCGCAAAATTGAGTAGGGAAACAACATACCAATATAATCCAACAAGTGAAGTTTGGAGAGAGTAAAGTGTATGCAGACCTTACCTCCTACCTCCACGAGATAGAGATTAAAGAGGTAGTTTGCGAAAGACCCTCAGCTCAATTACAGCAAATCAAAGTACTTTATGAAAAAGAAAATACAGTAGTGAGAGTAAGGAAAGAAGTATAATCAAAATTCTTCTAGATTACTCTCGGGGATCTGTTTAGGCGTTGAAAGAGCATGTGTTTTGTGCCTGTAAACATGTACTATTTCAAATCCACCAAGGCATAATGCACAATTACTTATTGCAACTATACTTAAAACTTTCATGCACAGATAGTGTAATGAACTTTTATACTATCAAGACACTTAAAAAGCCATTTACATGTAAGTTCCGATAGCAAAGCTTAGACTAGTAACATGCATCAAAGGATGATAAACTACCTATAACAACCGGCAATCTTTTGCAATTTATAGTAATAACATAAAAAAACTTCTGCAATTTTTAATTACATAAGTTAAATCCTAGCCACTAATATAACACATCAACAAGAGAAAATAACCATCAACATTTTGAGAACATCAGCACATGTGACGATCCACATGTGAGGGTGCTGAGAAGTAATAGATGATGAAAAGTGAAAAAAGTTTGTATTCAAAGAAGCACTGTGAGGATCACCCATTACATTTTTCAATAATCAGCAAAAAGAATTTCTCATCGTATTGCAGGATAACTGAGAGAAATATAGGGCATTAACCACAATAATGGCAAACTTGAACGCGAACAGCACCCATCAAAGAGCAATAACAGAAAGAAAGTCACTCTCGCACAATTCACATGACTCATGGTAACCATGCTTTGATTAGTATGATACTATCTATGTCAACTTCCTAATCACGGCAACCTAATTTCAGGGAATGTAATGTGCTAAGTCGTTGAAGATTCAAGATAGGACTGATAATGCCCCCAAATCAATAACCCAGAGATACAATTGGCTTGTGAAAAAACAAAGGGGCATAGAACAAGTCTAACTTTGCTCGTGCATTCTATATACTGTTCAATTTTACAAATAGAAATCTATTCCATCCTATAGAGCAGTCTCAGTTTGAAAGCTGAAAATGCAAGACATTACAATTACGCTATAATAGGATAATGTACGTTGAAATTGGAAGACCTTGTCAAATGTTAGCTCAAAATTCATATATAAAATAGCATGGCTCTCAAGTTCATTTCTATTTGACACACATACCCTGAAAACGACATCTTCAGAAATGAGATCATAGGTGATTTCTTAGAACCACATTTCTGATCACAACGACTTGGCAAATATTCAGTGAAAATGTGTGCAGAAAAAAGGAAGTTACAAAGAAGGAAGAAACGAGGCATGGGTGATGTGTGATAATTGTGAGAAAGAATCCCCAAGGCATGTTGTTGCTCTTTCTCCAGTTCCAACAGTTAGACATGTGCCCAGAAAGCCTGTTGATGAAGATCTTTACAAGATTTCTCCGGACTTGCTCTACCCCAAGTCTAAAATGGTACATCTATATCTTTTAGCGGTTGGATGGATGACTATTTAAGTTAATTCCATTTATAAGTTGTTCAAATGCCTTTGACTTTGGTGGAGTTAGACTATTGGCTCTGGGTCGGCAAAATTCAATAGTTTTACTAATAATTTATGACTTATTAGACAAAACTCATACTATAAGTCAGAAAGTTCTAGGCATATTTTTTATTTTATTCAAATATACTATAAAATTATTTAAAAGCACATGAAATAAGTCGATTCAAACAGCTTCTTACCCTAGTGTGAAAGGCAGTACAAAATTTGGAAAAAGTGGTGAACTAAGTTATCTTCTTTAATATCATCCCATACCCATTCATGTACCATAAAGAATGGGACTCTGTGTGGACCAATAAAAGGCAAAATGATCACTCTTCTTTTCTAGTGTCACATCTGAAGGGACACTACTTAATTAAACTGCTAATCTTTTTGACAAAGGATAATAATAATAATAATAAAAAGAGACTGGAGAGTGGTAGACTGGTAGTTAAAGTTAATCACTTTTTGGTGCCTTTATTTTAACGATTTTAATTGCACTACTAGTTAAAAGATCAATTATTAAGACAACCTCATTTATATATTAAAAAAGAAGTTAGAAAAAAAAATAAATTTGAGTTTACAAAATGTAACATTCTCCCATAGAGGTGACTCGAATTTTTTCGTCGGAAAATTACATGTATACATAAGGTCAATTTATCTCTTTTATAGATTGTATATAGCAGATGTTGAATTTCTTTTTATTTCTTCGTATATTTAAACTCATTGCAGAAAGGCATCTGAGGATTCATATCAAGCTGCTTGATGCCAACTTGTGCTTGTTAAATTTAAAGCAAATGCATATAAGAGAAGATGTGTGTTAGTATATGCTATTTACTATAGAGATGTTTGACATGTTTTTTGGGGTTTAAATCAGTAAAAAAAGGGCCAAAAAATGAAGAAGAAAGATATGGAATGTTGGTCATCTTAAGAAGATAAATATATCATTATTGTCATATGGTACAATAGAGGAGACTTCCCTTTTATTCTCTTTTGTAAACAGTAAGTTTCTTCTTGGAGGTATATGTTGATGTCTTTAGTAGGACAATACTAGTGGTGTTAGCTTTTGTAATTTATAAAATTATGAGGAATTGTATGGGAAGTTGGGATTAGAAGCTTGTAGTATTGCTTTTATGAGAAAAAACAAGAAGCCTTCTTGTGCCATTTTTAATTTTTATTGTTGATCTTTTTTACTTTGTTGTGTGACTAATTATCAATACTTAAAAAGTCCCAATTAATCTAAAGTGTATTTATCATCTTATTGGAAATATCTTTATACTTGCCCTAGAGGCTTTTCTCTTCTTTCTTTTGATCATAACAGGAAGATTTCACATAATTTTAAGATCGGATCAAAGGTCCAAACAGGAGTTTAATTGCTTTTATCTTTTAATCGAAGGGATTTTACTTTTCGTACAGCCAACAGATACTTATTTGCTTTTGCATCTTTACTGGATTACACTGAAATTAAAGGTGGATTTAAAAGGCTCTAGAGTCTAAAGAATGATTTAACAAAAGAAGCAATAAAAACAACATTAGTTGACTAAAGAGGAAGTGAAGATATAAATCAAGACAAATATTTAGCACTAGTCAAGTGACATAATAATCTGGACCTCTTCACATTATCAATGCAACAAATATTTCCTCAAAAAAAAAGGACATAAGCACCTCTCTAAATCGGAAATTATTAGTTACACACCAAACTCTTACAAAGAATTTTACATTTTGTACTTGATCTTAGCTAATGAGTTACTATTATTAGTTTAGAAGGCATGAAGGAGTAAAACATACATAATTTGTTTGAGAAAATTGTTCACAACTTTGGATAACATGAGAACGCATATTTTAACTTCAAACAAGTAAGGATAATATTTAGAATATGGTCCACATATAACATGTTTGCGTTTGATAACTATGTTTACTTTAATATACCAAGTTCCTTTGTCCAAATTTATCAGTAAATATCAATGGTGGTGGCTCGAGGGGTGTCAATTCACTGAAAAAAATAGCATAGATAAGTAGTAATATGTATTTATACTATATGTTGGTCAAAAAATGTTAATATTCCTTCTAATCTCAAAACCACTCTTTCAAGACATGCATATAAGATAATTAGAGCACGGCACATGTTTAGTAATGATACTAGGATGGGCTTGGACCTTCCAAAAGTATTCATGAAAATATTGAACTGAAAATAGAAAAGAAGAAACATGGCTACATACATGCACAAAATACATCAAAAATGAAGAAACTACGTACAAAGCAAAATATACAAAGAAGAGCACCTATGAAGATTGCAAATCTCCAACACTTGCAGCAAGTTCCATGACTTGTTTCATAAGCGCTCAGGGTAGCAGAAGAAATCAACAAAAACTCGTCTCTCTTCTTTTTGATGTTTGTAAATCTGTTTTATGATGAGGATATCATTTATTAGTTTCCATCTTCAAGAAATATACAGCATAAAAAGAGTGATAACGTGTCTAATACCATAACAAGTACAGAGGAACAATATGAGAAACAGAACGGCACCAGAAATTAGAGATGGTGTCTACTAAGGGACAAAATTAAGAAGACTTGAGCTGAAAGCTTACATCTTTCTTCTTCAAGTGCTCACGGCTCACGTCTTCAATGGCACGAGATAGGTTCTTATTGTAGTCTTCCAATGTTGCTAGCTGCTTCATTAGTGTCTATACAGGGAAGGACACAAATGAGAAGTAAGAGAATAAAATATTCAAATTAAACAGAAGGGACTGAAGTGCTCAGCGAGCAACCATCCACAACTTTTGCACCCAAAATGAGCATTATAACTTATGTGACTATTCATATAACTCAAAAGAGTTAGGTAAGCTAAGCAATCAAGAAGATATATTTTTCCAGGAAACAAAAGACTGGTACATCAGTCCACCAAAAAAAAAGGGGCACTCAATTATGACCCATACATTATGGAAAGGCAGAGCGTAAAAACTCCTACGTTAAGTAAACAGATACTCCTATTAAAAAGCAAGATATATAAACCTCAAAAGCCTTTGAGCATATAGAAAGAGGGGGAAAAGACAAATAGAAACCATATTTACAGAAAGCAAAGGGCATAATGGCAAATAATATACCTGAGGTGTTAAAATTGGTTGAGCAGTTGTTGATGAAGCAAACAATAAATGCTGCAAACTTTGAAGAAGAGTGCACCTAAAATATGACGTAAGAAAGGTATAAGTTGTTTTCACACCATGACAGTTTTACATCTCAAATCCCCATCAGTATTGATTTTAAATTAATGAAATGCCATAAAGAAGGAGTACAAGTCCGTGCAGAGATAATAAAAGCAAAAGCAAACTCGGAATTCAGATAACATATATTTGTTTGAAGTATAAATTAAACAGGGAGACCTCAACCTACAAAACACATCATGAAAGGTAAAAGAAATATGGTTTATGCAAAACGGGGTGATTCTTAGCCACCCTTGCTACATGGTGATCTAAAGTAACTTTTAAAGAGATTCCAGTATATAACCAGCCCCAAGAGATTTCAACACAGTTCTCTTAAAAACTATCCGGTCCAAAACTCCCATCTTCCATGAACAATTACTACAAACACATCCTCACGAATTTTTCAAGACACTTCACAGCTACATCCAAGGAAACTAAAATATGTTGACTGGATCCTAGTTACAGGCCCTTGTAGTTCCAGCAAGTCATCACTTGTAAATGAAGACATAGCTGACCACTTGTCACAAAAAAAGAAGAAGAAAGAGACACCTTATACAATTATAATGACCTAGAAACAGATCAATATGCAGACAAAAGTACTATTTGATAGTTTTCATTTTCCGTCTCAACACTGATTCATCAGAACTGTTGGCTTTTAATATAGAAATTAAGAAAATAACAGAGAAAAACTATTGCAGTATTGTCAAAGTGAATTATTTTATTAATAATTCAGAGACCAATATTTATAGAAAAATATGTTACTAACTTACCAAGTTAAAAAAAAAAAAAAACGAACTAACTTCTAAATTCAAGTCACATAAGACTCTGATAACATAATTTTAAAACCCTAAAATAGCTAACTGTTTTATTTCTGCAATATCCTAAGACATATTCTCAACAAGGACTACACATGGTGATAAGTTGGTGTTCACTTAAGATCAAAAACGATATAAAAACATGGATAAACCAATGCGTTGGCAGCACTATATAGGTCCATGTAAGAGCGTATTGTGTAGAGATCTTATTCTAAAGCTTCAAAGCTCTTCCCAATATGATTAATATTGTCAGAATACGGGAGAGGAGTTATATAGAGACTGGTATAATTCGACAGAAATGAGAACTTACAGTCTATTTATACATTGATCTCTATCCTGAGGAAGAGTGTGTTCAAGGTCATATTGCAAAGACATTAGATCTGAATGAAGGCTTGATATCTGTTGAACAATGCCAGGTGACGATACATATGTTGATGGACCAGCTTGGATATCTGAAAAATTAATTAGTATGAATAATAACCCAGAAATGGTGAAGTAATAATTCAATGTCCAAATCCATTACTTGAATATAAACTTAAAAGGTCTCTGATGCCATGAAGAAATGTGTCGCGATCATCCACTGCTCCTTGTTCTTGAACATCAGATGCAGCTTGGATCAGTGCCATGCATTGACCCTAAAAATAAAAAAGTTGCATGAGTGGACAAACAAGAAAGCAAAGATAAATATTGCACTCCCACGTCCCAATTAAAGCTGGAAATTTTCTTTTAAGAGGCCTCAAAGGTATAACCATCCTGTGTCCATATTTCAATAGCGTCCTACATTGCCTCTTAAACATGCATCAACCGGTAACACCACCTTGACTTCCCAAGACTCTTACGAAAAATCAAGCACTTCAATCAACCACACCAGCTGACAATCCTCAACCCCAAATTAATTGGGGTCATCTAAAAAAATCCTTTGTATCTATTCAACTATCTTCAGCTACATTTTAAATTGTTCCATAAATGTCAAATTTTAAGACCCACACAAAAACGTCATTTTTATAGCAAATAAAATTTTAAAACCAAAATTCCAGCTTCATATCTTTAATCGTTCAATTTATGAAAGTAAAAAGATGTTTGGATGGCTAAGGAAATTAAGTATGGAAAGTTGAATAAGGCTTAAAAAGGAGGAGAAGGGACAAGCTGGTGAAGGTTCTTCAAGTTCAATTCAAGTCTTGTGACATGACTCATTCTACGCATATACTTACCACTCTGCTTTTTGTTGCTGACAGGTATCCATGCAGCTCAGACTCAATAACTTTAAGCAATGAAAATGCCCCAAGCATGGTCTTCTTTTCCAACTGACATGCTACTTTCAGAAATTGATGTCTTGAAACATGATTAATTAGATGATTTATGAACTGCAGAGAAACCATAATTAAGTAAGAATTACAAGAATTTCTAAGCATCAATGCACTAAATTAGAAAATGATGCATGCCAAATTAGCAAAAGCGAGCAATTAATATCTGCTCCTTATGATGGTTGTTAGTAGAAGAAATAAAGAAAAAGAACTGTATAGGAAACACATCACCCTGTCTTACACATACCCTTTTTTGCCGGTTAATGTAGAATTCTTGGCGCATGACCTTTAGATCATAGTCTCCTACATATTCCACAAGAAATAGAATTCAACAAAAAAATATATGCTAACTAAAATTTTAAGATCACATGGTCAGACGACAATATTATTACCTTCCAAGATGTATGTGTCTTGTAGCTGAGCCAGCTCCCAACAAAGATCAGGAATAGTCTGAAAAAAGAACTGCAGTAGGTAATATGCCCAACTTTGACATCAAAATTAAAAGACATCAAAGAATTCTTGAAGTTGTCTTGAAATTTAAAATATGTATGTTCATTCTAAATTGATCACCTCAGCTGATATTGAAGCATCACCTAATCAACAATATGATAACTCTGTCTCTAAGGGTGCTACCTGACATCTTCTCTTGTTTCATGACTAACAGACTAAGTAATAAATAGCTGGAATTTGAACAGAAGAGATAATCCACAAGTGCTAGACCTACCTCGGATAATAACTTCTCTTCTTTGCGATATAAAATTGAGATTTCTCCAACTAGTTCAGCATGTTTTCTCCTGCAAAGAGAAAGAATTTAATGATAAAAGTAGCCCACAAGTAAGGATATAACATTCATTTTTAGAAAAACAATGTTTACTAAACGGCAGAGTATCATTAAATAAAGAGATAACAGATTGTAGATAAGTACATTCCACAATATTCCAAAATAAGAACTATTTGGGGATGTCACAAAAAGAAAAGAACTAGCTTCCAATGCATATTTACAATTGAAAGTCTTTCTAGCTATTCCTCGTTATAGGGAAATTGTAATGCAACTATGATAGATACTGCAAAGAGATTTCTCAATCACTTCCCCACAGATAGAGGCTTGTATTCTACTGCACAAATGTGATAGTTGATGTATAGAACAACAAATGATACGCAATGACAATTCAGACGTCAGAAATTTTTTTGGGATTACGTAACCAACGTAAAATAAAGTAAATAACTAAGCATGCAAGATCTGTAGAACAAAATGATGCTTCTTAACCTTCTAAGTACACCCAGTTCCAGTTTCAAAGGATTTTCTTCCTTCTTTAATTTTTTTGGAGAGAGGGATTTGGGGGGAAGGGGGTGGTCGGACTTGAGTTTAATTGGAACTCACCGATCATTTTGTAGAAGTGAAACATGAAAATTTCCATATATTGTCTTGATATGATCACAATCCTTGATACTCCTACTATTCCCGTTTATGTTTACTACAACAACATTCCCAGTGTAGTCAAATAAGTGGGATCTAAGGAGGGTGGGGTGTATGCAGACTTACCCCTACCTTTGTGGAGTAGAGAGGTTGTTACCGATAGACCCTCGGCTCAAGCAAAAATCGAGTTTTAGAGCAGGTTTAAACAAAAATGGACAAGTAAACACTATGTTTATGTGACACAATTTCCTTCTTAGTCCATTACAAAAAGAATGGCACACTTCTAAGATGTGATGTCACCCTGTTTACCCCTTATAGATACAAAAACCATTCATATGGCAAGCAACATTAGCCTCATAGAATGACCATATGTCACTAACATCATAATGCAATAATCCAAATAGAGAATACACGATGAACACGAACAGCAAAAAATATATCAGTTTTAGGTGCAGAAGAGTGTAGATGACATCTACCGAAGAGAATGAAGGTCCAGATGAATGTGAGCCTCATCTGATGTCACTTGACCCTTGAACGCAGTAAGAATAGCTTGTTGCTTAGCATTCTCAACTTGAGCTACTATCCATTGCGTCTCCCTTGGAACAAATCTATCACAAAGAAGGGCAACCATGAAGCTGTGTTGACAATTTCTCAGTGATGATTCATGATTGACATACAGGGGAAGTATTTCAAAGTAGTTTAAATTCTTATGTTCTATATTTATATACTATAGGAACCACAAAAGTAAATCTCTTCAACTTCCGATGTTGTGACAATTAATGTAGATGACCAAGCATCCTGTTTCAGGAATGTCACGAAATATTAGGATATATCCCAATAAAAGCCAAAACATTCGATAGGAAATAGGTAATATAAAAAGTTAAGAAACATGAAAACAGAAAGTGAACTCCTATACATATTGTCCAGATACGACATCTTTGCACTTCCGATTAGAAACATAAATTGCTAAGATTAAAGTAAAAGACATGGTGCATACATGGAGCGAAGGCATTGCAATTCAGAAACAGGCGGGTGGTGAGACTTTACCAGATCTGCCATGTCACAATGAAAAATATTTACAAATCAACCTAACAACCACACACAATAGCCAGGAAGATTTCTCCAATTCTTAGGAGAAGAAATCTCTCCGTCAATAAGTACACAAGCAAATCCAGATACAAACATATACCCGACTTGCAGAAAAGAACTGATGTGAAAGGTGGTGTATGAATGTAAATACCTCGTAGTAAAACGTTTGATATGTCATTGAGGCTAACCCATGAACATTTTGACTTCCCCTCCTCTGCAACTAATCTGTAGGGACCCTAAACCACAATAAACCAGTAATAGGAAAGTCAACACACTGAAATTCTATAAAATAGATCTGGAAAGTGCAGATTAGATGGGAAGGGCCAAAATTTTCAGCTATGCAGATGAACATTGTAATAGTTGGCTGGACAACACGTGCCTGCCAATCCTAAGGCCACGCCCACTAAAAAGTAAAATATTTGATATGTCATTTAGGTAAAAACTTGACTTAGCATCCTCAGCAACCAATCAGATGGACCCTAAAATCAAGTTGTACCATAAATGCACAAAATTTTTAGCCATTGGAAGCCAAGATATTCTAGAAGAGCAGATTATCTGGGACAGGTCAGGGCATTGGCCAGGCAAAGGGACATTTTCAAGGTTGGCAGAAAGGGTACAGACTGGTCATCCTAAGCCCTACTCATCTACGGTATTGCATATGCATAGCCACTATAAAATTCAGCATCTAAAAAGTAAGATTGAATATCATGTACTATACAGCAAGAAACACAAGTCCCACAGTAAGCCTTCCTATATTCGTAGAGCTGAAGAGAAAAAACTCAACATTAAAGATAAACTCAAAACAAGATCATATACTCCCTCTGTCCCAATTTATGTGACTTACTTTCCTTTTTAGTCAGTCCCAAAAAGAATGACACATTTCTATATCAAGTAACAATTTAGCTATAAAATGTCTATTTTACCCTTAATGAAATGATTTACAGCCACACAAATTTCTATCATTCATTTTGGACAACAAGTTTTAAAAGTCTTCCTTTCTTTCTTAAACTCCGTGCCGAGTCAAAGTACCTCACATAAAATGGGATGGAGGGAGTAATATTTATTGGCTCGTTTCAAGAATTCTACCTTAAAAATAAGAGAAGCTCCAAGGAAGAAATTGATACTTTAGAGGTTAACAATTCAATGATCAGATTACAGTGACCTTTTTAGCATTATGTAAGTTACACCTAAAAGAATTCATGGATTAATGAACAGGTAAAAAGCACCAAATATTCTTGGATTAATGAACAGGTAAAAAGCAACAAGTATTCATGGATTAATGAGCAGGTAAAAGCAACAAGTATTCATGGATCAACACTAAGCAAAATCAGTTCACAGTTACGCATTATACCAAAATTGTGTGCAAGCTTTAACTTTTATGTTGCTTCCACAACCCAAGTCCTATGTCTAAGGTTTGATGAGTCTCCAAATATACGTGATATTACCAAGGTTAAGAGGATAAAAATGCTCACAAGGGAAAGAACCAAGTAAAATAATAATATTCCAAACGTACTGTATCTAGATGCTTGGTAAACCACTGATTTAACTCCTTTACACAAGATGCATCCGCCAGCAGATATGCGTGGAAGTCCGAGTAAGAAAGGTATATTCCATCTTCTACAATACAAAAGAATCTGAAATATCAAGGAAATAGTCACAATAGTAAAAAGAAATAGATAACAACAACATACCCAGTATAGTCCCTGAGGTGGGGTCTGGGGGTATAGCACAGAAAGGAAAACAGAATTTTCTCAATTCAGATACTCATTTGACCTGCTAATGTTGGAACCTAGACGTCCAAGTGAGCTAAGCAATAGACTGTTACAGCTAGTCTGATTGAAATATGCAGCATATTTATAGAGTATACACAAAACATGTGCACAATCACATCATTTTTGAAAGCAAAGCAGCGACCAGCACTCTTCTTGAAAAAGCATAATCCCATCTTTTTCTGGAGAATCTTAGTAGTCATTATGTACATTGTAAGAATTAGATCTTACAAAAGATCTCTCTGGGAGTGTGAGTTTTGACATCCAAACCAAAGCATAGAAAACCTTCTAATAAATATATTCACCACAAATACCCTTTAAGCAACAAGAGAAATTTTCTGAAATAGTCATAAGAAAAAAATGGACGTACCATCCCCTGAATGATAGTGTGCCAACTCTTGCGCAGTAGAAGCCATCCTTCCAAGAACTGCATTCATCTATGTATAGTGAAGCATTTGAGGAAACCATTTAAAATTTTACACAGTATCAATATATGTACATTTCCCATCAGAAGTATATATTATGCTCACTGGCAAACCAGAATTGTAGAGACAATAAATATAGGATGCCTTCAACTTGGAGAGTGGACCTTTCACAGCAAGTTTCTTTAGTGGATGTATTTGCTAAGATATGGATTATGGAGAGGTAATAAGAATTTCAGATTGCCTTTACAATGACTGAACTTTATAGCGAAGAGTTTCTTCTTTACCCGAAAAAGCTAGATAGCATTCATGCTGCCAAAACCAGCCCAAAGTATACACTAATAACAGGTGGCCTAATATGTAAAGGGGCAATCTGAAACAGACATGTTAATGTGCTAACATTACAAAAATGGAAATAGCAAAACTATAGGCAAAGGGGAAAATCTGATGCAGCCATTTAATGTGCTAAACATTACAAAAATGGAAAATAGTGCAGCGTAATGAATTCCTAAAAGCATTCCACTTATGCAAAATACAAATTTTGATCATTATGGCCATAAACATAGCACAGCTGGTTAATCAACACCTTGAGATAGGATGTAAAGCAAACTTCAATGATAAATAGAAGAGCTAAGAGTTTATGTAATTCAACGACAAACACTTGTTCCGGAAGAATTTCTTTTATGTTACTTTGCTCAATACTTTTCTGGTTCATTAACAAAAATAAATGACATTGATGAAGTAGGTTACCCAAAAGAATGCGCCAGAAAAGTGCCAAATGGAATTGCTACAATGCTATACAAGGCTCAAGCCCTCTAATTATTTGATCCAAGCACCCATACATTGGGAAAGTTTTATATGTAATAGTAAAGAACTCTTGATCTTCCAAACACACTTCAAATCCTTCAAGTGGATCTTTTATTTCCCTTTCAAGGTCAATCCGCTTATCCGTTTCCAGATTATCCTAAAAACACTTGAAGGTGCTACATTCCATGTTTGCTTCTATCTCTCACCTGATCTCCCGTAGGTTTAATCTGCCTAAAGGAGTTTTAGCATCTTAAATAAATAATCATCAGATAACAAAGCCAAAGAAGATGAAAACCACAAACCAGATGTCAAACCAGTTGTCAGATTGACATCTTCAATCTACCACTTAAACAAGCCAAGATTATTAATATTCTGATCCTCTTCCCAAATTGTCTGCCGTCAAAATAGCATTCAAGCTTTGTTTGGTCAAGTTGCAGGTAAAGCAAAAGAAGAGTTTACAGTTAAGCTGCCTACATAATCACCAGGCCTCACTGTCTTTAAAATATCCCACATTAACTGATTTACCATTAATAGCAACCTTACATATACCATAATTGGAGATGATATTCTTTGTATAGACTGGGTGTAAATAATGCAAATAAGATAAAATAAGTTGCATTTAACTGGCATACCTCTAAATTCCTAGCTGAAAGGCTATCATCTGTGGTAGCCTGCTGTCCATTAAGAATAGAAGTTGCTGCAACTCGAGCCCTTTTTCCCTGAATCAATGTAGAAGCCTGCCCAGTGAGCATATCATATTGAGACTGCAATCGTCTCAGCTGTTTCTGCAACTCTAATTCTTCAGCTTTTAATGCTAAAGTTGCATCTCTGATGATTAAGCAAACCATCAATATCAGAGAAAAGCAGAGCAAATGTAAAAACAAATTACTCTGAGACCAATTCATTTTAATATACAAAGGAGCAAAGATAAGGTTCTAAGAATGTTAATGGTTTACTTATTTCCAAAAAATAGAATTCAGAGAGAGATACATCATCTTCTTGTGCACACTAAATTGCCTTCATCAACTCTCTGGTATCTAAGTTGCCTCTTCATATGCAGTTTCTAATTATGGAATAAAGATAATCCAGAACTGATGATTGATCAGATCAATGGGGAAATATAAACTACAGCTGTTGCATTCGAGGTAAGGACGAGAAGACTGGGCTTCAAATACCTATGATCAAATCCCTGATGCATCATTCACAATATTTCCAGAAACACAACATAACATCTGAGGTGTGAACTCATAGATAACTGTTTCTAAGGGTCTGCTAACTCCCGCAATCTGACAGATTTTGCTTAGTGTATCCAAATGAAGGTATTGATTGGGAGCACAGAAAGTCTCAAAAATAAGGAAAAGAGAAACAGACCACGAGAAAAAGTATAGCTGAGATAAAAGGCATGTTTAACTAATTTCTTTAAGAATTATTTAACTTACTGTCACATCATGAGTAAATACAATGCTGGATCAGTGATATGAAAGTATAGGTACATCACAATGTGAATGTGAATCGTTTAGAAACTAGAATTAAGTTAACAATGTAATTTTGAGCATTAATACACACTCAAATTTTGACATAGATTAGAAAAGGTTTAGCAATAAAGAACAACAGATTTAAGAGACAATAGTCATCACCTTATATCCTTCAATCCTTCTTCGCTTCCGAAAGCTGCCTCTTGGTTTTCTCTCCTCATTGAGAAGGCTGAAATGCTGTCATAAGCAAAGTCTAGATCTTCTCCCTGCAAATTCATTGCACAAATGAGGATGTTTGTATGCACATAGTGGCAAGAAGGAATAAAGAAGGACTTGATAGCAAACATCTTCAACTTTTATTAAATGAAAACTACTAGTGAATAAAATATTTATATGTACATATATTATAAACATAAGCATATACGCATAAGTACCTACAGTAGATACATTGTGTTGAGTGGTTCCCCACCAACCCACCCCACCCTAAACAACAACAACCCAAAAAATATACAATGAAAGCATATAATGAGGTTAAAAAAATCTTAAGGTTGACAAATGATAAGTAATTATCAATAGTAATGGTTCTAGATATTACAACTCATCTTGCAACTTTAAAGAACCTCCAGAAATTTTTTCCTCTCTTCTGAAAAGCACCCGAAGTACAACAACAACATACCTAGTGTAATTCCACAAGTGGGATCTGGGGAAAAACCTTGACGTTAAACAGGTATAAGCTTTCTTAACAATTGAGCAAAGGAGCATGCTTAATGCAAACACCCTAATGAATATATATCAGCATTTGTCAGATATACCATAGGAGGCATGAAGGCAGCTTTAACCATACCACCAAATTCTTGAGGTTTCAACCAGACTGAAGCAAATTATTTTTATATGAAATGATAGTTTCACTCAGCTATAATTACTTTTTGTTGTGGAGTGGGGTGGGGTGGGGGTGTATGACAACGTACCTCCAACAGCTTCTCCTCATGTAAAAGATGCTGGTACCTAGGTTATAAGAGAAGATAATAATTAAAAGGATGAATAGCGTGTTCCGGTCAATAGAAATAGAGAATTATGACGGATGCAAGAAAAGAAACTTGTCTAGAAGGATAGGATAGAGTAAACAGAGTCAAATATAGTGAAGTCAAGATGAATTCCATAAGTAATATATTGTCCAGAGATGTCATTTCAAGCAACTGAAACATTTCGCGTTCTGATTGAGAACGAGGATAGAGTCATATTGACCAGTTTTACTTTTTTCCTCTTTTCATATGACTAGTTTTATCAAGAGAGGTCTTGATAAAAAAATAAGTGAAAACAAACATAGGACACAATAATGATCAAGACCATAAGAATAAATTAAAAGATATTAGCAACTAAGAAAAGCATTCAGTAATTCTTAAAGGAAAGCTCAAGAGGTAATACAACTAATACTATTGCGCCTCAATCCTAAGCAAGCTAAAGAGATAATAAAAGTTGAAAATGCTTATCAGTAGAAAACTCACAATTATCACTATGTAAACTCATTGAACTATAAATGCATCAATTACATCTAGCCAATATATCCTAAAGCTTCTATGGCCATTTGGCCAATGTCCAAGCCAAAATATAGTTCTAAAGAACGAAGAGAAGGGAAGTCCACTACACAAGATGGAGTCTTGCAGATATTCTCCTATTCATTGAGGACTAAAAGCCAAAGCATAACTAATCACAATTATGTTACATACCCATTAATTATGTCGAAGACATTGAAATGACATTGACTATTGAATATAAACAAATTCGACTGCAAGGTTGGAAGTAAGTACAGCTTCCATATAGAATGTCTAGACGTTTTTCGACACTTATTAAATTACACACACAACTAGATCAATTATGTAAAAGATTAAACATAAGACTTTAATGCACGGCTTAGTAACTTTGCAAATTAGAAAACACAATAAACTGATAAATTATACAGCTTCCGATGAATCCGATATAATAAATAGAACTGTAAATTCCCATTTATCTTTGGAGACGTCCAATTTACACAAAACTGTATACAGTACAGAAGAAATCATGGACTGTAGCTCAAATGACATTGCTTAGTAACATCAAAAAAAAAAATAGTAATAATAATAATTTAACAACAAGCTTGATACTTAGTACAACTTCCGATACACAAATAAATAGAATTCTAAATTGCATTTTAACTTAAATTATACAACCAAACAAATTCAATTATCCAGAATGTACTAAGAGAAAGAAAACGAAAGAGAGACTTCACTGTGTGACTTCAGAGGGGGAAAGGACATTGGAAGGACGAAGGCTAGAGCAAAGCCATTCGAGGACAGGTCGAGCGTCGTCGTACTGGAAAGGCCACTCGAAACTATCAGGATCAAGTGATTCGTGACCTTCGAATCCCAATTCCCCAAGCAACGTGCATATTTTTTGTGGGGCGGGGTGGGGTGGGGGTGTATGACAACGTACCTCCAACAGCTTCTCCTCATGTAAAAGATGCTGGTACCTAGGTTATAAGAGAAGATAATAATTAAAAGGATGAATAGCGTGTTCCGGTCAATAGAAATAGAGAATTATGACGGATGCAAGAAAAGAAACTTGTCTAGAAGGATAGGATAGAGTAAACAGAGTCAAATATAGTGAAGTCAAGATGAATTCCATAAGTAATATATTGTCCAGAGATGTCATTTCAAGCAACTGAAACATTTCGCGTTCTGATTGAGAACGAGGATAGAGTCATATTGACCAGTTTTACTTTTTTCCTCTTTTCATATGACTAGTTTTATCAAGAGAGGTCTTGATAAAAAAATAAGTGAAAACAAACATAGGACACAATAATGATCAAGACCATAAGAATAAATTAAAAGATATTAGCAACTAAGAAAAGCATTCAGTAATTCTTAAAGGAAAGCTCAAGAGGTAATACAACTAATACTATTGCGCCTCAATCCTAAGCAAGCTAAAGAGATAATAAAAGTTGAAAATGCTTATCAGTAGAAAACTCACAATTATCACTATGTAAACTCATTGAACTATAAATGCATCAATTACATCTAGCCAATATATCCTAAAGCTTCTATGGCCATTTGGCCAATGTCCAAGCCAAAATATAGTTCTAAAGAACGAAGAGAAGGGAAGTCCACTACACAAGATGGAGTCTTGCAGATATTCTCCTATTCATTGAGGACTAAAAGCCAAAGCATAACTAATCACAATTATGTTACATACCCATTAATTATGTCGAAGACATTGAAATGACATTGACTATTGAATATAAACAAATTCGACTGCAAGGTTGGAAGTAAGTACAGCTTCCATATAGAATGTCTAGACGTTTTTCGACACTTATTAAATTACACACACAACTAGATCAATTATGTAAAAGATTAAACATAAGACTTTAATGCACGGCTTAGTAACTTTGCAAATTAGAAAACACAATAAACTGATAAATTATACAGCTTCCGATGAATCCGATATAATAAATAGAACTGTAAATTCCCATTTATCTTTGGAGACGTCCAATTTACACAAAACTGTATACAGTACAGAAGAAATCATGGACTGTAGCTCAAATGACATTGCTTAGTAACATCAAAAAAAAAAATAGTAATAATAATAATTTAACAACAAGCTTGATACTTAGTACAACTTCCGATACACAAATAAATAGAATTCTAAATTGCATTTTAACTTAAATTATACAACCAAACAAATTCAATTATCCAGAATGTACTAAGAGAAAGAAAACGAAAGAGAGACTTCACTGTGTGACTTCAGAGGGGGAAAGGACATTGGAAGGACGAAGGCTAGAGCAAAGCCATTCGAGGACAGGTCGAGCGTCGTCGTACTGGAAAGGCCACTCGAAACTATCAGGATCAAGTGATTCGTGACCTTCGAATCCCAATTCCCCAAGCAACGTGCATAATTGCGCGCTGCTCATACTTCACTGCTGGTTTAGATCGGAGTTGTCAATTGGCTAAAACGGCCGCCGGCCGGGAGATGTCTTTTGCCGCCGGCACTGACCTAATTTGGGAGATGTTTCAAATTTAATTTGTTTTCTTTTTCCCTCTCCTTTTTCTTTTTCAATTTCATAATTCAAGTTTTTAATTTTAATTTTGAACTGAACATGTAAGTATATTTTGATTTTAGTTCTATTTGTATTTTCATTTGCCCTATATATTTTTTAAAAATTCCACATCCTACAAGGCCACAAAGAATCCCACAACATTGATATTGAGTAGTCCAACAATTAGAAAAAAAAAATTATATTGATTGATGAAAATTGAAAATTGACCTTAAGCTAATATTTCTTTGACAATATGGTAGTTGGTTGATTGAATTTTACCAATAACAAAAAAAAAATACACATACTAGTACTTTGTTACATTTATAATAGATTAATAGTTTCCAATAAAACAAAAATATTAAGTGATTTATGAACATAGTTAGATGATACGTATTGTTGATAAGAATATATCTCATAAAATCATCAAATGTGGAGTGCAAATCATTTCTTTATAAATAAATATATATTCTCTTTTTCCGACAATTTATCTCGGGTACTTTGAGCTAAAATCCACTTTCAGTTCTATAGTATTAACATTTCAATATATTCAAACTTCACTTCGAGTTGATAAAAAAGAAATCGTTAAAGTATTTGAAGATGTTGGCGGATTATATGAGCACCAGCACGGACAAACACTACTACACTTTTCCAGGTCTGCAAACCAAAATGCAACATCTTTTTTTATAACATCGGTATTCAAACCAGCTTTTGCACACCAACATAGAGGTATCGGCTTACAATGTCCTCCAAGTTTGAGCATAACATTTTTTACTCCGCTGAAATTTGAAGTTGAGACCTCGTGGCTCTCCCCACTCCATGATCAATTCAAATGACAGCATGTCTCAGCAGCATAACCATGGAAGCCTGTGTTGCAGTAGCAGCTCATTTACAATCCCAAGCTACCATTGTTGGAGAAAAGTTCTATGGGCAATAGGATAAGGTCGCTTAATAGAGTAGGGAAACAACGTTATCAAAACAAACAGCATACCAGTATAATACAACAAGTGAGATCCGAAGAGGGTAGAGTGTACTCAGAACTTACTCCCTCACTTCATTGAGGTAGAGAGGTGGTTTACGAAAGACGTGAGCTCAAGTGCAACAAAACAAAGTACTTTATGAAAAGGGAAATATGGTAGAGAGTAGGGAAAGAAGAAAAATCAAAATTCTTTTGATTTACTCCCACGGATATGTTTAGGCGTTGAAAGAGCATGTTTTCTGTGCCTCTAAACATGTACTATTTCATATCCACCAAGGCATAAAAGCACAATTACTTATTGCCACTATACTTAAAACTTTCATGTACAGATAGTGTAATTAACTTTTATACTATCAAGACACTTAAAAGTCATTTACAAATAAGTTCCTATAGGAAAGCTTAGATTGGTAACTAGGAAACATGCATCAAAGGATGATAAACTACCTATAACACTAATAACATAAAAATCTTTTGCACTTTTAACTTAAGTTAAATTTTGCCACTAATATAATCATCAACAAAACGATGACCATCAACATTTTGAGAACAGCAGCAGCACATGTGCTGAGAAATCATAGAAGATGAAAAGTGAAACATTCAAGGAAGGACTGTGAGGATCACCAATTACATCTTTCAATAATCATACTGACTGCATAAAGAATATGTCACCGTCTTGCAGGATAACTGCGTGGAATATAGGGCATTAACCACAATAATGGCAGACCTGAAAGTGAACCGTGCATCAAAGAGCAATAACAGAAAGAAAGTCACTCTTGCACAATTCACGTAACTCATGGTAACCTTGCTTTCATTAGTATGATATTATCTGTGTCAACTTCCCAATCAACACAACCCAATGTCAGGGAATGTGATGTGCTAAGTCATTGCAGATAGGACTACGATAATGTCCACAATCAATAACACTAACATCCAATTGACCTGTGAAAAAACAAAGAGACATAGAAGAAGCCTAACTTTGCTCATGCATTCTAACTTCTATATACTGTTCAATTTTACAAATAGAAATCTATTCCATCCTATAGAGCAATCTCGGTTTGAAAGCTGAAAGTGCAAGGCATTACAAAGACACAATAATAGGATAATGTATATTGAAATTGGAAGAGCTAGTCAAATATTAGCTCAAAATTCATATATAAAATATAGCTTGGCTCTCAAGTACACACTCTGAAAAATTGAAATTGGAAGAGGTAGTCAAATATTAGCTCAAAATTCATATATAAAATATAGCTTGGCTCTCAAGTACACACTCTGAAAAATCAACATCAGCAGGTATGAACTCATAGGTGATTTCATAGAACCACATTTCTGATCACAACAACTTGGTTAATATTCAGTTTATTCATCCTCCTCACGTTAACCCTGTTGACATCCCACGAAGCATAACATAACTGACATTGGCTTTTAAACCTCAGCACCCATAATAGTACACAAATTCAGATTGCAAGAACAATATTGCTCTTATTACTAGTCCAGTGTAGTAGAAAATTCATCAGTGGCAAACAGCCACTATATTCGCAACCCATTAATTAGCTTTTCATTCAAGTATATAAAGAACATTTGAGTCGTACCAAAATTTCTGAAATCAACATTACAACTACAATACCGTCGAACGTTCAAACTCTTACACACACGTAATAAAAGACTAACATAAAAATAGATTTTTAAAAGCATCATTGGTCCTTACACCATATGTTGCCAATTGCCTCAGTAAGATCCCCTGCTGCTGTTGAGAATTGAACCGAGTGTACCCAAAACTGCAAAAGCCAAAAGAGGACTCACATCCAAAGTGTCAAAAATTGGGGGAATTATGTTCCTGAAGAGATTCAAATAAGGATCACAAAGGTCCCTAATAGCTGACAATGGCTGCCTGTCCCAAGGTATATTCGGAAACCAACTGAGCAAAACCCGAACCATTAAAACCCCACTGTATATGTCAAGCCATTTCGCCATTCCAGCAGCAACCACGGTGAAAGGGGTATTCAATCCTCCTGTTGTAGGCTGATTCCTAAGGGCAGCGAAAAACATTGGTCCCGCAGAATACGCCAGAGATTGCCCCAATCCATTAAAGCTCAATTTTTGGAAAACCAACTTCGATACAGCCAAAGTGACTGCAAAAAAAGTTGTAATTGTACGCGTAGAGCGAGTGATTAAAGGGTCAGATTTCGCAGAGGGGTTTTCGAGAACAGTTGAGGATGATGCCAAAACTGTGAATTTTTTAGATTTAAGGATGTGTAAAGAAGGAGCTGCGAGTGAATTTGGCCGTGTGAACAATGAAATCGTTCTGGGTTTCGAGTAGATTAGGGTTGAAGGAGGAGAGAGGATGGTAGTTCTGGGAAGATTTGGGTTTTGGAGAATTAGGGTTTGAGAAGCCATTGGAGTTTCTCGAGTTTTTCTCAAAACTGATTTTTGAGGTATAGAATGGTTTCTTTGAAAGACCCGCTAAGATTGGGTAGTATTTTGTAAGGGCCCGTTTGGTTAGAGTGATTAACTAACAAGAATAGCATCTTGATTCCTGAACTTGTGATTTTGATCGGGAAAACAATACTATTATATTACTCTTTAATTAATAATTGAATAAATCACCCCACATATAAAATTTATTTTTTAGTACTATTTAAAAAGGAAAAAATTAAAATATAATGAAAGAGGAGTGTATAAAAGTAGGTGGGCCATATTTGTGATAGGTGGGCCATCTTCAAAAACCAAATATAAAAGTAGGTGGGCCATCTTGGTGCCACGTGTCGAAAGAAGAGTGAATTTTATTCACTCTTCTTTCGACACGTGGCACCATGGCCCACCTACTTTTATTTTATTTAAATCATATATCATATATATTACTATATATAATAATATAATTACTATATAAAAATTCACTCTTCTTTCGACACGTGGCACTCTTATATAGTAATATTTTAATTTTTTCCTTTTTAAATAGTACTAAAAAATAAATTTAAAATATCACAAATTCGATTAACTCTCAAAATTTTACGCGAATTCTATAATTAAGACGAAGGGAATAACATATATTATTTGAAAAATTACTATATAATTACTACTCTTCTTATATAGTAATATTTTAATTTTTTCCTTTTTAAATAGTACTAAAAAATAAATTTAAAATATTACAAATTCGATTAACTCTCAAAATTTTACGCGAATTGTATAATTAAGACGAAGGGAATAACATATATTATTTGAAAAATTACATTAAGAATACCATAAACCACAATAGTTAACAACTTACAATATTTGAAAAACATATTAACTCTCAAAATTTCACATGTGTCACATAAATTGGGACAAATGGAGTAACATATATTATTTGAAATTACGTTAAGAATATTATTAATCACAACTTAAAGTATTTAAAAATACATAACATATATTATTTGAAAATAATGTAAAAAATATTATAAATCATAATAATTAACAATTTAACGGATATTGTGCCCGTGCTTCCATTTAGAAGTGAGAATGTTTAGGAGCTTAGGGTTAGTCAGTCAATTGACCGATTTGCCCTTCTTCTTCAACTTCCTCTATTTACTACAAAAATAGTACTAAAAATCAATTTAAAATATTAAAATTTTGGTTAATTCTTGAAATTTCACATGTATTGCATAATATAATAGAGTAGTAACATATATTATTTGAAAATTATATAAATAGTACTAAAATATAGTTTAAAATAGTACTAAGAATTTGATTAACTCTCGAAATTTCATATGTACTGCGTAATTGAGATTGAGTGAGAAATATATATTATTTGAAAAATAGAATAAATATGTGATATTATTAGAAAGAGCTTTAATATATATTTTAAAAATTATTTTGTCTTCCGTATATGATTTTCTGCATATATGTGGAGTTTTAAAGTTTTTAACATTTTAATATAGAAATATGATTATTTGAAAATTTTAGTACTTTCTTCATTTAATTTTTTCCTTGTTTTTCTTTTAATTTGTTCTAGATTTAAAAATTACATAAAAAGTACTTAAAATCACAATGTAATAATATAAGATATTAAAAAAACATAATTAAAAATCATAAAAGAAATTTTATTGACTCTTTAATTCCATATTGAAACATAAGAAGTTTGTTTGAAAATAACATAAAAAGTAACGTAAATTAAAGTAAAATAACAACTAAAAATATTTAAGAATCATATAAGAAATTTAATTGAGTTTCGTAAAAGTACGTACGTCACAAAAAAGGGAACAGAAAGAGTAATATATATTATTTGAAAATGATATAAGAAGTGCTATAAATCACAATAAATTAACAACTTCAAAATATATTTAACAAAATCACATACAAAAAATTATATAACTCTCCAAATTTCATCGGTGTCACATAAATTGAAACAAAGAACTACTCCCAATTTATGTTATTTACTTTCCTTTTTAGTCAGTCCCAAAAGAATGTCACATTTTTATATTAAGTAACAATTTCATTATAAAATATTTATTTTACCCTTAATGAAATAATTTACAGTCATACAAATTTATATCATTCATTTTGGACCACAAATTTTAAAAGTCTTCATTTCTTTTTTAAACTTCCGTGGCGAATCAAACTACCTCACATAAAATGAGACGGAGGAAGCAATATACATTGGGGCCCGCGCTGGCGCGGGAACCTAATAACTAGTATATATATATATATCTATATCTAAGGGGTAAAATTACAAGTTTTAAATCTACTTTTAAAATATTATTGCTTATAAAATTTTAATTGCAGGTTATAACAGATCAGTTTTTTATTTTAATTCCACTTTATTAAATAATTAATATTTTATAATTATATTTTAATTATTAGGTGATATAATTAAAGAATCAATCATAATTATTTGTTACCCATTTTTAGTGATTTACCTTGATTCTTGTATTTGTTTACTGTCACACTTCAAACCCCACCTCCCAACCACCACGTTTCTCCTATTCTTCTCACACACCATAACAACACCCTACCTGTAACAGCCCAGAAAAATTTTCGAACTGAGACTTGAACCGTTCTTCATAGTGAGTGAGATTTTTTGCAAGGATTTAAGCGAAGTTTCATTCTCAAATAGTTGAAGGATTTAAGTTCTTGATAGGTGTTCTTGAAGTTCATTCTAAATCTTGTTTTGTTGGGGTTTGATGATTTTTTGAGATGAAAGTGATTGTTTTGAGTGTTGTTTTTTAGTGTATTAGTGTGTACTTAGGTTGGGTAATTGAATCTAAGGAAAACATGAGAAAAGAAATCGATTAAAAATGATTTGGGGTCAGAAAACGAGAGGCGAAATTCGTCGAAACTTTGCCTGGGGAGAGGCTGGTGCGGCGCGCCCCAGATGCGCCCAAGGGGCTGGGGCAGCGCGCCTGCAGTGCGCCATATGCAGTCTCTGAAGTTAGGGACTGGCGCCCTGAGCCCGAAACGCGCCAAGGTCGCCTGCCCCCACTCATTTTCCGTCGATTGTCCCGTTTGAGCCCCTTTTAAGTGTACCTTCACTACCTTTGATTCTAATCACTCTAAACTACTTCCAAACACCTAGAAATCATTCTTAACATGATCGTAACCTTGAATTCATAATTCAAAATTCAAGGTAAAGTTAAGAGTAATGTCTTGAGAGTTCTTCCGATCATTTACAAATTCAATGTATAAATAAAATAATTATTAAAAAACAAATATTATTCAAAATAAAACAGTAAATTCCCAATCATGATTCTTCAATCTCCAATTTAGTTTCAAAACATACCACCCGTCGGCTGACATGAAAACTCCACTGCTCATATTACCATGGCGATACAATTTGTGAATGGCCTGAAGTTCGAAAATTATCTGCCTAATTTTTTTTAAAAATAAACCAATAATCAAATATTTTCAAAAAGTAAAATCAACAAAAAGAAATATTACTTACTGAATTTTTTGTTGGAAAGAATGTCCAAGTCTGAGATAAGTTTGGTTGTTTCCGAAAATTTCTCACATGCCTACTTTGTTGGTGTCATTCAGCCAATGGTCGAAAGGAACTATTTTTTCGACGATAACTATTCCTTGCTCTTTGTATTTCCTAAGGGCAAGGGGCTTTGTCACGTATTGAGATTTGATCTTACACAGTTCTCTAAATAATTTTTTAACATCTACAAACTCTGAATATAGCAATGCACTAGCTTCAATGATTAAATTAGAATCACTAAAACGTAATTCACACTTCCGTAGATTTTCACAACCTTCGACTTCATCTCCAAGGAAAAATGATTGTATATTGTCTAAAATAGGCTCCATCTTCGGTTCAGTGAGTGAGAGGACTGAGTAGAGGCGTAAGACGATTGAGAGATGAGAGATGAGAGATGAGGTGTAACGAGTTACTGTGTGAGAGTTTAGAGATTTAGGATTGTGAAAATATCATATATGACATTTATTAGACTAATATTTTCAAGTTATAGTAGTAGAATAAAAACTTTCAAATTGTAACAAATAAAAAATTTCAGGTTATAACATTTTATTTAAAAAAACATTTTTTTAATTAATTGTAAAAATCTGTTTTGAAAAAAGAAGAAGATAAAAAAGGAAAATAAATTGATTTTGAAGAAAAAAACCAAAAATAGGTGTATTAATTAAATTTCAATTGATTGATGATAATTATTAATTAGCATAAATTTAGGAGATTCAAACTAATTAGGAATATTTGTTTTCTTAATTCACTCGAATCTATAAAAAATAATTAAAAAGTCTTATTTTATCCATTTTCTTCAACGTTTCTCTCTCGACATTTTTTTTCTAGAATTGTTGTCACTGACGAGTAGATCAAGTTTTTTTTTGTTTGAAAAATCTTGATTTTGTTGTGATCGACGACTTCTTATCTATATTAATTAAACATGATGGTAGATGAGATCCTTCATGTTAGTATTTTTTATGATTTATTGTTTGTATTTGTATATTACTGAAATAAAACGTAAAAAAACAATGAAACGGTAAATCACATTTTTGTGAAACTTTTTCTCTCTCTTTCTTTACGGTTATTTTATCTGCCTATTTCGATTTGAAATTAATTTTAGATGTTAGTCATTTGTGATTGTCCTCTTTGTTATGATTGAAATACGTTTATATTTTAGTTGATTCTTGTGTTTATATCTTTTGCTTTGAATACTCTGTTTTAATGTTATATTACTGTGCCTTTTGATGTTTATTTATTTATCTTCTTTTTTTCATGATTCCTAGTCAACTATGTTAATGCCTTTTTTTTATTTATTTATTATTATTATTATTATTATATTATTATTATTATTGTTGTGTCAGCACTTTCTTTGTTTTTATTATTATCTTCTTCTTATTATTATTTATTGGTACAAATTATTGCTTTGTTTTGTTTTCATTTTTATTATTACTATTATTATTATTTGGTTATTCATATTTTCCCATGCTTAATTTATTGGAATTGTTTGCAAGCACTTTCTAAAGATTCCCAGCAAGTTGAGTTGCTATGATTGTTAGCATTCGATTATTTTATTTTAGATCATTTT